AGTTACAAACCTTCTGCTTTTCTTCAGATTGAAGTGCATCTTGAATAGCCTAACTTCTCGATGAAATGGTATGAAAGACGCACAATTACATAATGTACATTTAACTATAATATTTGTGCATTATGCATAATAAATAAACAATTATTGAATTCAGAAATTCTATATTATGTAGCATAACACAATGACAATTAACAGTTATTGCATTTAAGCATTTTATATATGCAACATAAAATCCATCGTCTCAAGCCACGGTCCGGAGTCCGCATATAGCTCTCTCAAGAATGGGAGAGGATCTTACATTTTGGCCGTGGTTTGCGACAATGCATAAAATTGTGACATCATAATTGTAAATTTAGGACATATTTGTAATTAAAGGTGTCTGCTCTGCTATAGTGTGACAATATGTGTTTTTTTGTGATATTATCTACTGTCACAGACTGACACACACACAATTTTTTTTCTACACAAAACTTTACACATCTACATGTTTTGCAATTATCATTGATAATGCCTTGAGGTTTGGTTCAGTTTTAGACACACCATCTGAGGGAATACGTTTTCTTTTTGTGTGGTTGGCAAACGAACATGACTGAATCTTAATATTTTCCACGCATGTTGACGAGATCTTCTTGATTTACTCAAGGTCAAAGATTAAGTACTCTGTTCTACTCTGAAAGTGGTTGGACTGGAATAGCAGAGTATGTAATGATTTACAATTAATGGAACAAAGAGCACCATGACACGTTTCTGTAGTGTGAATCTATATAAAATATACATTTTATCTAAAGGTTACAAAACATTAATATTTCTGAAACTCTGATAAAATATTTTTTTCTTTGCTTAAATTTAGGGAATCCATAGCTAAAGCTGCCTTTGATTGAAAGGATTGAGCCCTGACTTTAACTGTTATCCTTAGCCGATGGAATGTCAGTTTGTGTTAGTCGGAAAAAAAAAAGTTAAGGGGCCATTATAATATTATTAAAAACATTAATAGGTAAGAACTCGTAAATAAATTCATTTGTATTTTTAAACTAAATGTAATACCAAAATACTCTGATTTGCTATTTATATATTGTAAAGAAGTCAACGATACATGTCAACTTTAACAGATGTTTTGACAGGCTGACGAGAGAAAAAATCTTTTACTTTGAATACACAGAAGTTCATATATTTTTGTACTAAATTGGTTAAATAAAATAATTTTTATTAATTTGTTATCTGTTGTTGTGTATTTGTCGATAAACCCTTTCATAATAAACAGTCGAATAAAAGTTATCTGATTTCCAGGTTAAGATTTTCTTCAGATTCCATAAGATGAAAATCTTAAAATTGTAATAAGTTTTCAGCTTAACACAATTTTAATTCTTAATTTTAATTATGGGGAAATTAACATTGAACACTAAGTATATAAAATAAGTTTTATTCTAATTTTATTTCTTATATTATGTTCATTCGTTGTGAAATTTGTGTAAAAAAGCATTTGAATATGAATTTTTTTTTTTAAATTTTGAAATATTTGCTTTGCAGTTTGTGATTCAGGCACATATGGGAAGGATTGCAAAGAGATATGTGGACATTGTGAAGGTAATCTTCCTTGTAGTTACGCCTATGGATCCTGTCCAGTATTATGTGAGCCCGGATATCAAGGACTAAAGTGTTTAACAAGTAAGAAATTCATTGTCTCAAAAATTCTATCCACAACTTTTATATATATGAATATTTTAACATGTACTTAATCTTGCAATGCACCTAAGAGCTCAGTGTTTTTCTTATCTTAACTTGATTGTGCTAACTTTTGAACCTAGCATGCTTTTGAACAAATGAAATGGACATTTTTGAAAGAAAGTAAATGTGTCTTAACAGAGATGCAATCACTTGGCATTTTGCTAAATACGACTTTGGCATCTTTTGGTTTCTTTTTTCTTCTAAGTGAATTGTTTAGAATTTGGTTTTAATCAGTTGAATATTGTACGTACAGAAGTTTAAATCAATAGTGTTTTAGCATCTTTCAAATGTATGATCGCGATTCTGTTGGTATTTTTACCTTTCATCTGAAAGACGTTTAAACGATCTGTATTTGCATATTGTACAATCACTTATTTTCTTGGGGTTAGAATTTTAGTGTTTGTTGAAAAACACGTTGGTTAATGGGGCATTAATTTTGTGAATTAAGGAGAGTTTAAATGTTTTATGCATGAAATGTACATTTTACGGGGGGAATGATTTCATGCGTCTCTCCATACCATGAAGGCAACGAAAATTAACCCCGACGAAAATGATGGAATTCACAGTAATATTGCCAGACTTATTTGTATTTGTAGAAAACTTAAGACCACGATATCATAGTTAAAAGGAGAATCTCATATACGGTGTACTCATGTAAAAAAAGTTTTATTTATGTCGTATTCTACTGACGTGATTTGTATCATAAAAACAAGATAAGCAAATAAAAATTCGCAGCTCTGTTAAGGCTGCATAAAGGAGGTGGAGCATTATTTACACGGGAGATGTCAACTGTGACATCACACGAATATAGCGGTTCCTCACAACAACAGAAAATGAAATAATTTGCGGTTTTAAAGTGCATAATAGTGATGAACTACATCAAAACTTACCAATGCATTCATGTTTGTCGCTAGTTAAATACCACACAGCAAAATATAAACAAGTCACTGATCGCAATGCACTTGTCGACATGACGTCATCATGGTAAAATCTGACGCATTTTATGTGCAGTGAGAGGCGTATCAAGTAAATTTTCCTCAGTGAAAACAGATTTTATTATTAAACAGAATATTATTTGCAAATCTGAGGTAAAACCATTAATACGAATCTGAAACATTTGTTTAGTGCCATTATTTAAAAGCTATCGAGAGACTGTTTTGAATTAATTCTACCGTGTTTTTGTCTACAGGGTGTGCATGTTTCACGCTGAGGTGCCTTTTCACAAGGGCATACACTTAATAGATCTTGACCATTTTTTGAAATCTGCATAACGGAAATATTCCTTAACTTGAAAAGTGGTGCTGCTTTCCTGAAATCGAGAGCATTACTAAATAAATAAATAAAATACATGGTAAAGGTCACACATATTTTGACTAGAGCCAAATAACTTGAAATTTAAACTAATAAAATGCGAATTCTATTTAAAGCAGCATCACTTTCTATAAAGTACAAGTTATATAGATACAATTTATTACTGAAATTTTAAATTCTAACTAGGGGATACCCTTGCAATATTGAAATTTGTTTATGACCTACATATAGTACACATTATATGCATTTATCACTTTACTGTCAAATAACGTGACCAAACCAAATTCCGTACAGAGCGGGGTATACAATGTTATGTCAATTAAAATTAAAGTTATGTGATAATATAGTAGCTTTACCAAAATAAATTCATTTTAAAAAGGTATGTATTTATGCACGTTTATATTCCGTTGATTTTTTCGTAGTATGTCTTAACAGTCCTGCATAATAATTAAATACAAATAAAGTAAATGAATAAATAAAATTAAAAAAAATGAAAGGAAAACAATTAATGAGTATATAAATTATTTGGTGTGTTTATTTAATTGTGATTTTATTTAATATTTATGCCATTTTAAACGAACACAGAATGCGAAAGCGGTAGGTATGGCACAAACTGTAAATCGACCTGTGGATATTGTGCAATTAATGCAACGTGTGATCAAGTAACTGGCGAGTGTCCTGATGGAAATTGTGCACCTGGGTGGACAGACATAGGAGACAAAAAATGTGATCGAGATTTGATTTTTTTTTTTATCAGATCATTATTTTTTATATCAGATAACACTACGTTTTGTTGGCATATGAAGATTAGAACTTATGAATAGTGGAAGGAAGGAAGTGGATCCTTTTGCTAATGATTTTGCATTCTGGCTCCTAAGGCCCCTAATTATGTAACATATTATGTGCGTATTACTACCTATACCAAAGACTTGTTTAATTCTAATATATATATATATATATATATATATATATATATATATATATATATATATATATATATATATATATATATATATATATATATATATATATATATATATATATATATATATAACATTACACACCTTTACCATTATCTGTCTTCGTGAATAAAGATGCCATCATTGTATATGCTTTTACTATTTCTAGCTATAATTTTTTTTTCAATGGATGTGTTTGATTATGAAAAAAAATGCTCTTGAATTAAATCTTTGAAAAATCAAACAGGAGAGATTGTTTAACTTGACTTCCACTCTAAGAAATGATTTAATCGAACAGAAGTTCGAGCCATTGTAAATTATAATTCTCCACTGTTCCCTTGAACTTTAATGTAATAGATAGAGGGCTACCTGTTTTTTCTTTAAAAGATAATTTAAATTAGATAAAATAATATAATTTCAATAATTCTCTTAAAAGCTATGATAATGGCATATATCAGGTTTTGAAGTCAGTATCCTAATTAAAAATATTGTAGATTTAATTATGATTTTCTTTAGGTAAGCAATAAAAATCATTGACACTGAAAAACTCTTTTAGTACGTACACGGATATAGGGAATTTACTGATATAGCGAATTTTTTTGCAATCCCCGAGGAAATTCTTAACAATTCCCTGTAAAATATTACGGATATAACGAACTCCAATATAGCGAATTTACGTTATAGCGAACTGAATCTGTGTCCCCTAGAAGAAAAATAAGGAAATCTTTTATAGCGAAATTTTAAAGAACTTAATATTGAAATATTAAATTGACATTGATTTTGTAAGTATATATATTTAGAATGCTTTTTGTCCGAAAAAATTTCACTCCATGGTCAATTTAGTATTTTATACTTCCCTAAATACTGTTGGTAGTCATACTTGAAGGAAAAAATCTATATTGCAAATTCGCTATGTATAATTCTACGAAATTTTCATGTCCCCAGAACTTCGCTATAACCGAAATTCACTGTATAATTTCTCCCTCCGTTTCATTCATTTTTCAGTTTGCAATGATGGGTGGTATGGTACAGAATGTAAAGAACGCTGTGGTTATTGTAGAAATAACAAACCGTGCCATCACGTGACCGGATATTGTTCTGGATTCTGTGAACCTGGATATCATGGAGAAAAATGTGAAGAAAGCGAGTTTTCTCAGATTCTTGCAATCCAGAGGAAAATGCTCAACTGCGTAAGAAAATTGCTTTCTTTCAAAAGACGCAAAGTTGAACTGATTGCAAACGGCACATCCCCCACTGACCTCAAGTAAGAGAAATATTCTCTGAAAGAGTCTAAGAACTATGTATTCACATTAAATGTATTTGCTAATAATGTAAGCCTCGTATTTGTATAATAATTTACCTTTTTGCTGAGGACATGAAATACTGCTTTATAAGTTATTATATTCTCTATTAACTCTCTTGACAGATCTTGGCATGTGTAAAAATATATATCATGTTTATTGAGAAAGTTGGTTAAATTGAAATTTGAAATTGGTAGGATGAAATAGGACCAAGTTCAACATTTTTTCCCAAATGTCTTGATGATACATTTTTATAAATCTGAAGTTATTAGAATTAATTTTTACCATAACGTTTGCTGTTTAATTCATATTCCTAATTATATTATGCTTGTTTCCCTCTTTTCTTTGTAACAAGCTGTTCAGTTATTGTACGAAGTCAATTATATCTTTTTCCTGACCAACATTTTATTAAAATCGTGTTTGTTTGGTTAATCTGAGAATAAAAGATTCTCGAATACTGATGACAATCTGTGTTCTTTTCACTCTGCTTGAATTTTAAATACTAGTATCCCAGTTATATAAATATTGATTGTTAAAAGGAATGAAATTTGGAGATAACGAACACTAATCATGCTCAAAAATCCATTGAAACAATACAAATCGGGAGCAAAACAAATACGGTCCTCTAAAAAAAGACATCAGAGGTGGGATCAGGTGCCATAAAGGAGTAGGCTTCCCCTTTCGACCGTTCACACCGGGCTTGTGGCCTTTTGCCACGATCGGGCAAACGGAAAAATCCGCAGACAATTCAGTGTTCAAAAATTTTCCTTAAAACCCGATATTCTACACGAATGAACATTAACAAACACTTGAAATTATTCTTCAAATTGAAAAAAAAGTTATGTTATTTATTCCCCCTCCCCCCAAAAAAAGAAAAAAAAAATAATCAGTAAAATTATTCACATCATTTTGAATTCTCAAGCGTATTGTCACACTATTGTATTTCTTTATCGAAATATCACACCTCAACTATACTTCTTCATAGAGATAATGGAAAATAATCCTTTAAAAAATATACCTATACCATAATTAATAATGCTTTTCAAAAGAAATATACACATGTTGTGGATTGCTTACGGTTGCTTAATACGTATCTTTTATAAAAAAAAAAAAATTGAAGAAAAAAATTATGAGAAATATTTTTTTTTTTTTTGGATCAAGAAGGTTTTAAACGTTACTAGCCAATATAAGGTTTGTTGAAAAGTGAATCTATACATTAACTTTCTTTGACAATTATCAGTAATTCATGTATGAATTATAAAAATCAGGGAAAAAGGATACCCTTATCAACATCTTCATTGAAACTTTCTCAAATTTTGAGAAAAGATGTTGTTGGTATAGCGTAATGTAAACGCTTTTGCCATTATTGTTTAATCAGGAATCTAATAAATGAAGTCAATGAATATGCTTTTTGTAAAATATGTTGCATATGACAAGATTGATATTATCGTCTTTGTTGAACACCACACACAGGAAGAAAATATCTTATCAGCATTGCTCAGATACGCTTATATGTGTCTCTTGAAATGCAATTTATGTATTTCACGATGTTTTGTTTTATAAGGGAAATTCACTATTAAGTGTCACTTCATAAATCATATCGCTTTTGGCCAAAAAGCCAAACTGTTTGGTGTTATATGTTCACAATGTGTACAAAATACTTTTCTTCATCATAAAATCATTAGAGTATGAACAAAAATGGCCACTTATTTCTATTTGCAAAGGCTCTTTGGTATTTGGATAATGATTTTCTCACATGTAAATTCTTATGGTGAGTATGTTTTTCTTTAACAATATTTCTGGATTATTTTCGATTAAATTTGCAACTAAATTTCATATTTGAAAAATAATAATAGTTTAAATCTAGAAACCTTAATCAAATAAAATATCATAAAAAAAGAAAACAAATTACAAGAAGACAATTTGAATACCATTTGAACCCACATATCAAAAGGAAAATCTATAGATTAATGTAGGGTGACCCCTTTCGCTTAAGATGAATTGTTACATCATTATGAAATCAGGGTAAATAAATTCCAAAGAAAAAAGTATTTTTGTATCCATTAGCTAAAGCATCTCGGAAGACTTTTAGACAATACCATTATCTTATTTGTATAATCATAAAATATTGTTATAGTTAGCTTCTTAATAATCCATCTAATAAAATACTTGAAATCAACGAGTTTCTTTAATCTAGCATTGAAAGGTTCTAACACTTATTATAAAAAAAAATCTCTAGATAAAGAGATTAAATTTTTTATGCATTTTCTTCTTCACAGAATTCATGATAATAATGCACGTAAAAAAAGAAGTTATTTTATATACACAGTGTTTGTCAGAAATGTGAATGAGCATATCAATGCTTCATTATCTTGTTTTCTTAATCAACAGTTACGTTTCAGGATAATTAAGGAATGAAGCTTATTTTAACTTATGTTACACGATATAACATAACTTGGGACAGTTTACGCTTTATAAACCGCGAAGCGGTTTATAGAAAGCTGAAACTGCCCAAAGTTATGTTATATCGTATGACATAGGTTAAAATAAGCTTCATTCTATATAATTTAATTTCAGTGTAGACAATAAGACATTTTTTCCTCCAATAATGGCTTCAAATTGAGCATATTTTATAAGTAACGTCAAGCGGAGTAATACGTTTTTGACGTAACTCATTGTAACGTAGGCAACTTATGTTATACGATATAAACGAAATCTTTTATCTAATCAAATAATGTGTTACAACTAAAATTAAATTATTCTGAAATGACGGATATTCATGGATTTTTAAGAACTTCAATGTTTGGTACATTTTTGGAAATTAAATTTCTTAAAATTAAAATAAGATTAATGTAATACCGTAAGGTCGTATGAATTAAATCTAAACATATTTCAAAGTTTTGTATATCAGTATATATTGAATATTAACATTTTTATTATGCTAATGAATCTTGGTATTTGGCATATCCAAGGAGGACAGAACTGTTGTCTATCAGCGTATCCTGTGTTTGGTGTTTTCCTTGCTAAGTTTTCTCCTTTTTGGAGTAGAAAATATTACTGTAGATTCCCAAATATATGCGAGGAATTAATTATCACGTAATTTCACGAGAAGCAACACTTAAAGTTACTCTTGTTTTTTGGTGCTGAATTGTATGTAAAATCTTTACATCAAACCTCTACTCGCAAATTATTGTTCGACGTCTAAGGGCTATTCGCGAAGTAAAGTACTCGCGTTAAATGAGGAATCTACAAAAATATAAAACATAGCAAACTAATTAAAAAAAACATAAATTCAATATTGATAGTGTAAAAATACGTTAAATGATTTTACTACCACTTTAATCCCAAATATGATGCTGCTACGTTTAAGGTCAATTGCCACAAAGTTTTACAAACTTTTTTCGTAAAAAATATTGAAAAGCTGATGTTAAATCAATACTAGTGAGTTAAAGGAATAAATTTAGCCATATAAAGTATATGTTTCTTCTAGATTTTTCTAGAGATTATCCTCTAGATTGATAAAATATGCATAGAGCTGTTAGATGAACTGCAAAAAGTAGGGATTTTCAACATCATGATTAGTTCAGAACTTTTTATTATTCAAGGAATATGATATTTGCATCTTTTACAACCAAAACAAATATATACTTATGTATGCATTCAGTTTTTTTTTTTTTTGTTAGTTGCAAGTGCCGTTAAAAGAGATGTTGATTTTTTTAATGCGACATATTTATAACTTTAAAGAAATATTCTGTCTTTTTCGATTAATCCGTTTAAAATGAGATTCACAGAGCGTTGTCTCATGTTTGTTATCCCTCATCATTGTAGATGTATATATATTTTCAGAATGCGATGAGGGAACATATGGATTGTTCTGTGAGCATTATTGCAGTGGTCATTGTGCAAGAGGATTACCGTGCAACAGAGACGACGGAATATGTCTTGAAGGGTGTGCAGATGGATGGATGAATTCTAAATGTGACAAAAGTGAATCTCCACATTTTTAGATATAAAGAAGGAAAATTGAAAGCTAATTTATACATTTCGATATATCATTTCTTTGCATTAAATAAACATTTTCAAAAATATATATATTAAGACTTATATGAAATAAGTTTTATTTCAGATAAAAAAGATTTAATATTTCACTGTAATGTTATACAATTGGGTGCATTTGTAGAATGCAAGAATGGTTTCTACGGTAGAAACTGTAGTCTTCCTTGTGGACATTGTTCTAAAAACGCAACATGTGATCACGTGACAGGTTCCTGTCCTCATGGTTTTTGTGAGCCAGGTTGGAAACATACAAATGAAAAACTATGCAATCAAGGTACATCCTTTTTAGCCATTTGTCTTGACTGGTGTCTTGTCATAGCTGACAATAAAGATATGATCCCTTTTACTTCCTATTTGTATAATTACATGTATATCATATAACACTACAGGAAGTGTCCTTCTGTCCGACACGCTTTACCACCTTAACATTTCCTGCATCAATATATCTGCCCTTATTCTTATATGTAAATACGACTTATTATTCTTTCAAGTATACGAAGGTTGTTCATTAAGTTCCTGGACAATAGCGTTTTTGACAAACTGAAGGGTCCTAGATATACTTATTGTACACCAAAATATTTTTTATGAAAATCGAAATCAAAATAGTTTGGTTTTGATTGTTTGAGTTTAACATTCTTGTAAAAATCGAGGTCCTTAAAGATCGCAGATATAGAGTGCATGGCCAAGGGTAAAATGCTATTAACTTTAAAATAAAGTTTTAGGATTAAAATGATTTTTTTCCTTATTAAACAAGTTAAGACCTAAAGAAAATGTGTCGCAAATAAAGCAGCTGTCGTCATTTTTCGGATAGCTAAAGTATCGATTATTGAACGAATAGTGAAAATATTCAAAAAAAAAAAAAAAAAAAAAAAAAAAAAAAACCAACAAGAAATATGTTTCTAAAATTGAAAAAAAAAGAGACGTTGCCCATCGGAATGGAACAGCGTCCAATCATAAAATTATGTTTTAATATTTTTGAAATGACGTCAGAGACAAAATAATAATCAAATACCTGGGATTATTTGGAATATATTTAGTTCATTAATAGAGTATATGATTTTTCAACGGGTTTATGCAATATGGGAGACACTACAAGAAGTGCAAAACCACTATTATTAGATGAAAATATGACATCCCTATTCATGATGTTATATGATAATTATAGCGCATCGTCGGACTGGAATACAGGTATATTAAGGCAGTACCCAGATTATTTTTCGGCGAATTGAGACTTTTTTCGTAAAATTTAACATTGATAAATCGGAAAAACCATACATAAAATATTTACTATTATTATTCATTGTATAGACATCATTGAGTCTTAGACTAAAAGAAGCACTCCACTACGGCGTCATCACGTGACGTCTATAAATACTGTAGATCACTAAATTTTTGCGACACCTTATTTTCGCGAGATAGTCATTGACTCATTATTAGCGAGACATAAATTTCACGAATTATTGTTATTCCTCTAATATAATCTTAAGGAATACTATTATACGCGAGAATGAAATTTTGGTGAGCTCAGTGTCTCCCGAAATTACGCGAAAATAAAGTTCTCGCGAATAAAAAGTGATTTACAGTAGAAAAAATGCCTTAACGAAAAAGTGAAAAGTACAACACTACCCCAGGAATAATTTATTTATTTTTGTGAAAATAATTATGTGAAAACATCACTGGGTTATGAAAAATTCTGCTAGAATCCTACTCTCCCAAAACAGAAAAAAATATCATTCCAAAGTTTTGCATGAAACCTTACCAAAATTTTCACATTTTGTACATATAATCAAGGAATTGTCATCAATTCATGTTAATCACATGATTCTAGCAGCACTTTCCAAGTACTATAGGATCCAAACTTTCGATACAAAGTTATGTTTCAAAGTATGCGGCCTAGTGTTGAACTTTTTTTGTTAGAACGACAGAGGAAAGGCTGATCGAGATTTCAATACACTGCCTTTGTTCATTATAAGAATACATGATAAGTATAAATCAGCGTACCTGATTCTTAATCTTTAATTCCTTATGAATCACATATGACCTTCACGGTATATGCTTTAAAACTCCCATTTCATATATTTGTTTAAATGAATTCTCGTCAGGTTTAATTTTCACTCGGCAAATATTTGATCAATAGTTATGACGTCATGGGTTTGGTATTTAACCACTGTGATAAATAATAAGCTATTTATACCATCCAAAAACGACAGATTTAGTTTATATTATGTTTTTGAATGAATCCATTCACTTCTTGGACCTGAAATTAAACTTTATATATAGCTATTAAGAAATCATTATTTCTAAAGTTCACGTCATACAGCTTACTATGACGTCATACTGTATAGGCAAGTAGGATATCTGAGTGCAGCGTTAACATACCTGCGAATATGAAGCCTGAATATTCAGAGCTTTTATACTGATGACGCTCGTATCTTATCGTGTATTGTTTTGAATTTTAAGAATATACTCAATTATGGTGTTTATGTAATAATTATCCACACGTTGGCAGTGTTGCATAATAAAGACAAAATTACATGTGTCTACGAACATGTGATAAAACTTTTAAGTCCATATCTTCAACGTCAATATAAAACTAGCAAAACGCCAGGCTTGGCTGTGTGGCTTGCATACATAAAGTGTTTTTTATTTATAACGTTCATTACATACTGTGTGCTGTTTAAATTATTATACATGTACTAACCCATGGGATACAATAAGATATCGTGAACGATTGGCAGTATGGTAATTATTAATCAGTTATAGAATTTCTCTACTGACATTATTAATAACCTTGGTATGCATGTATGATATCTTTGCATTTAGAACCCTAAATACGCAACGATGTTAATACTGTTCAAAGAATTAATATGCATTGAAACATCATTTTATTTTGGGCTAGATTTTATTTTTCAATATGCAATATAAGTATGAATTTGCAGTCAACTTGTCATCAGAGTTTAATCAGGTATTATAATAAGGCATCTTTGTGATGTCACATGTCTTTGTTGATCACGTGACGGACACTTATGAACTATCATCTGAATGTACAAAAATCGCACAAAAATAGTTTAAAATGTTTGTTACAATATCGAATTCACCGTGATCTTTGGTACATATAAAGTGCTGGGGGCAAGTCTGAATTTTACTTCCTAAGAAAATATTTCACGAGAAATTCAACTTTCCCACATACAAGGCGGTATTTTCACAATTTCTCGCACTTTATGCAAAATAGGATAAATAACATACAAACCCCCAGCGAAATTCAGTTAGAGGACATACTTCTCTAGTAAATTCACACAGAATATCTTTAATTTATCCTTATTAATCACTTGTGCCAGTCTAATATATACACGATTAATAAATTACATCTATGTCTACGGACGTGTTAGAGGAGCATTTCACATGCATTTTTGTGTTATTGTGTGAATATGTGCATATTGGATACGCGAAAGGAATACCAATATTAATTGCAAATGTTCAACATCATAATAGCACATTAGAGCAGCTTAAAATGCACTTGAATCAAACAACAATGCCAAAAAAATTCATGTCATATGAAAAATATGTAGAGTTATGACACTTTCCCCGTCATTTTAGCTCAAGTATGCAGTGTCTTGACGACATATACTATTATGACGTCATATCTAGGTAATTCAGAGAAGTTACTACAGTTGGAACAGTTTGATATTTTACGGACAGCCAAATCATAGCCGCATACATACAAGTTCTGGAAGTAATGTTTGAACTTTCATACTATATTTAGCCTCGCTAGATTTCTACAAAATGCACATTTTTTTCTGCATTTGTACAGCATAAATGAACGCCACAACCATTCGCTTGTCCGATATGCACATATTCACACAATAACACAAACAATAATACATGTGAAATGTTCCCCTTACGCATCCGTAGACAGAGTTGAAAATTAGACTGGCACAAGTGATTAATAAGGATAAATTAAAGATATTCTGCATGAATCTACTAGAGAAGTATCTCCTCTAATTTTAAAGAAGTCTTCTGTTCTTTCGATGAATCCGTTTAAAATGAGATTCATTGAGCGACGTCTCATGTTTGTTATTCCTCATCATTTTACATGTACATGTATATCTTTTCAGAATGCGAAGAGGGAACTTATGGATTGTATTGTGAGCATTTTTGCAGTGGTCATTGTGCAGGAGGATTGCCGTGTAACAGAGACGATGGAATATGTCTTGAAGGGTGTGCAGATGGATGGATGAATTCTAGATGTGATAAAGGTAAATCTTCACATTTTTAGATATAAAGAAGGAAAAGTGAAAGCTAATTTATACATTTCGATATATTATTTTCTTGCCTAAAATTAATAATTTGAAATAAAATATGCATTAAAACATATGAAATGAGATTTATTTAAGATTAAAATGATTTGATATTTCACTGTAATGTTATATAATTGTATGCATTTGTAGAATGCAAGAATGGTTTCTACGGTAGAAACTGAAGTGTTCCTTGTGGACATTGTTCTATAAACGCAACATGTGATCACGTGACAGGTTCATGTCCTCCCGGTTATTGTGAGCCAGGATGGAAACATACAATAGATAACCGATGTGATCAATGTAACTTACAAAATATTTTATTTTGCTTAATATTTTCAATAAAAATTATATCTTTTTTTTTAAATTTCAGAATGTGATGATGGAACATTTGGATTGTATTGTGTGTATAAATGCAGTGGACATTGTGCAGAAGGATTGGCGTGTAACAATGTCAACGGAATTTGTCGAAGAGGGTGTGAAAATGGATGGATAAACCACTGATGCAATGAAAGTAATGTTAGAAACTAGATTTACGTAATTTATGAATGGCATGTATTTTATTACTGTCATATTCAACCTTATAACGTATGCTTATACCTGTAGATGATAAATACAAAGCAATTCAATTTATTTTACAATATCAAATCAGAAAGTATAATGCATAACAACTAGCATCGAATAATTGAACATGAGTTTCTTACTTTCATACATTTAAACGTTTTTCATTACCATTCAAGAATCTAAACTGTTTTCATTTCTTAACTAAAATTTAAAGAAATTTGCTTTAAAATAGGACACTTTTTTCCTCTTCTTCTCTCACAGTTTGAACTGAAAAAAGCAATATTTCATAGTTTTATTAATACCTTTTTCAATATGACACCCGAAAATTCATAAAATTTTTTGTTCGTTTAATTCTAGTTAATTTAATATTATCTCTTTGCAAAACATGCATAACTTTGAATTAGTGCAAAGATAGCCCTAATCAACGATTTGATATAAATGAAGAATAGAAAATTTTTCCCTGAATTTTCAAGCTTGCAGTCCTGGACGGTACGGCAGAGGTTGTCTGAAATTATGTGGTCACTGTGTCGGCAATAAGACGTGTCATCATGTCAACGGATTATGTCCTGGATTATGTCAGCCTGGGTATCAGCAGGAGAAATGCAATGAAAGTAGGTCAATTTTATGAGGCTTTTAAGTTTTTTTCATTAAACATTTGAAACAGCTTAAAATGAGGTATGTAAAGAGACATTTCTTTAGCTTAATCCATATAAAAAAATACAATAATTAACTATAGTATACTTTAGTATCAAAGTTTTAATATAATACATCAAAGTTTTTACTTTAGGGAGTCAGTTTTTACTGTTGTATATCAAAGTATTTTTATTATTTATTTCAAACCGTTAAAATTCATGCTCTTCATTTTATACATGTGCAAATTTTTGATATTGAAAAGAAAATATAACTTGAATATTCACGTATTTTCCATCGTTAGTATTGATTTTTTTTTTTTTTTTTATAAAATATAATGCTTGAAAAATCTTGAAAAATTGTTTAGAGTATTTTTTCATATTAAATAAAAGTAGCAACATATTTACTGTAGTATAGTATAGTGAAATTAAGTAAACTATAGATAATTGTAGTAAACTAAAGCTAACTATTGTAAATTTTGTTACGGGTTGTTTAACTTTTGATATATCTTGAACATAAACAATGATAATTACGCCTTTTTATATAACAGTTTGAATTTAATATGCATATTTTATTTTAAATTATTGATATTTAAAAAAAAAATCTGTTTAGTATGGTAATCTCCTAAAATTACATTTTATAAATTCCCTTTCCATCTTTTTTTTTTTATTTTCAGCCTGCAATGATGGCTGGTATGGCAGAGAATGTAAAGAATCTTGTGGTTACTGCAGAGGTAACAAACCGTGTCATCACGTGACCGGATCTTGTTTGGGGTTGTGTGAACCTGGGTATTCTGGAGATAAATGTGAAGAAAGCGAGTTTTCTCAACTCCTTCCAATCCAAAGGAAAATGTTGAACTCTGTAAGAGAATTGCTTTCTTTTAAAAGTCGAAAAGTTGAACTAAAAGCAAACGGCACATCCCCCACTGACTTCAGATAAGAGAAATATTCTTTGAGAGTGCATAAACTTTGTACTCACATAAGTGTATCTTCCAAATATTTTGTTTCAGTTGTTATATAGTTAATTCATTCACTGAGATCAAGCAACGATGTTTAATGAGATCAATTTTGTCCTAATAACTCAACTAGGTGATGTAAGCATGTACAAAGTTAGAAATTATAAGCTCAATTGAATTGTTGTATTGATACTGTAAAATTATGGGATAAAATCAAGTAAAATTCGACATTTTTCATACTAATATTAAGATATTTTCTTTATCTCTGAATATATATGAAATGAAATTTTAGTTATGACGTAATAATAGCATAAGATGTCATGTCACTTCAAACTTGAACTGACATGACGGGGAAGGTGTTATAATTTTTAAATGCTTTTCACATGACATGTAGAAATTTGTTTTGGTTGATGTTGAATTATAATGTCTGGATTGTTGTTTTAAGCTTCAAAGTGTTGTTATGATAGTGAACATTTGCAATTTAATATTGATATTCCTTTCTCCTGTCTGATATACAGAGCATTAAAACAACGTAATGTAGAATGTGAAATGCTCCCCGTTACGCGTAAGCAGAGATAGAATTTATAAATCGTATATATATTAGACTGGCACAAGTGATTAAAAAGGATTTAATCGAAGTTATTCTTTCTGAATCTATAAGATATTAATGTCCTCTGACTGAATCTTGCTGAGGGATTGCATATAAAACTAGATGCTGTCATGAGACAGTAATACCCGCACTAAGGTGTTTGCCTCTAAATGCACACTCCTTCATATTGGGCTTACCAAGGAAAAAATCCAAATAATTCTATAATTTACACAGTACATGTATTCGTCAAATCGAGCATAAAATGCTCAGGTGACCATGTGACCCATGAACCTCTTATACGCATTTCATATACTTAATTCATTACCAGTCTGAAATAACAGAATTTAATTAATGATGTAAATTAGGTTTTGACAAAAGGAGGGGGGATATAAATTTTTGGCCCATAATTGGAACTTTTTAAATTTATTTTCTCAACAACAAATAATATTATTTTAGTGCAAAGCGTTTTTGATGAATTTATCAAAATGTGCAAACTTTTTTTAGTATTTGATTAGGCAAAAACCTCCTTGAAAAGCCAAACCCAATCAATTTTGTCCCCCCCCCCCCCAACACACACACAATTTGCCTGTTTTTGGAAATAGGCCTAGATGGCAAAGTTAATATGTTAGAACATCGTTTGTTATGATAATTTAAAATTTGTTCTTGTACTGTACATGTATGTGAACACCTTTTTGAAAATTTCTACATCACATTGGACTTGCGTCACCCTACCAGTACTAGTACTAGTTTTACCATTATCATTTTTAGATTGCACATGCCATGTGACATGGTGCAGTGTTACATGTATATCAGTGGAAATTAATTCATTTTGTGTTTTAATTGGATTATATTTCATGAAGTTGACAGGACCTATGACAGTCGGTAAGTACAAGTTTAAGTATAGATTGGGGTAAAATAAACCGAAATGTAAATGGTTAGGTTAAAGTTTAAAAAGGATCAAAGATCATTGGCAATCTCCTATGCAGAGTTGTCGTTCGTTTCTCTCTCAGACACTGAATGTATGAGCAGATGGTAGAGAGTGGATCATCGGATGCCACAATAGACGAATTTCACATTCTGAAGAGTTATCTCCCGTTGTTGACATTACATTCAGTTAAAGGCACAGATCCGGGAATTTTTTTCCGGGGGGAGGGGGGTTCCACACCTCTGTCCAAAAAAATTCCAGCCCAGAATTTCCTTAGGAGCAAAAAAAAAAAAAACAAAACAAAAAACAAAAAAAAAACAACAAAAAAAAAAAAAAACAAACAAACAAAATAAAAACAATGGTGGTGGGTTCCATGTTTTTAAAGGGGGAGGGCATCCAAAGTAATTTTTTATTTGCTTCTGTAAATCAGTATATAGTCCTATTTAAATAACTCTGCAAATTCCGGGGGGGGGGGGGGTTCCAATCTCCCTAGCCGCTCCCTGTCCCTGAAATGACAAATGATCATGTGACTCCTAAATAGTAGAAAACTTTTCCAGTTGACTATTCATAATTTTGTTTCTTGTGTTATTATGTTATGTACATCTAATGGTTTAAGGTTATGAACCCCTGGAGGTCATCCCCACTCTCTTAATGAACTGGAAATGTTCATAATATATGACTACATCACATTAAATAAAAGTGCATCAATGATAAGATTACTTGACATTTCATTCATGAATTTGGGTCAACCCATGTACCCTCCTAGAATTAGGAATGAAAATCATTAAAAGAGATGGACCATTAAATTATTTGTATATATTCACATTTTTTTTTATGTCAAACCAAAGTATTAGACTAGTTTGCATACATGAACAAACAGGGGTCTGGGAAGGGGAAGGGGCAAGGGGAAGGAGTTATCTCTTTACGTCTTAATTGTTGAAAATTCCTAAAATGAATGTTAACCTCAAATCCGACTTGTACGTCTTCATTATTTTTAAGTGGTGGTGTCTCCGTACGAGTGAAAAATTCCCAAGAGGGACATTTAACAACAAACAAACATTAATGACTTAAAAAACACAATATACATGTATATGTTTATTAGTCAACGGATATACTTCTGATCATATCTCTAGTTCTCCCTTGAATCAGAAATGATGATATAAATATTTTAAGAATGATTAAGAGTTGAAAAGGTTGTGCATTTTAAAATTCACTAAGCTCTGTGGTTGAATTAGCTATACCAGTTTAGCTTATTTTGCTACTCAAAGCACCTTGATTAACTATTTTTAATCATACTGTTTTCTGAAATGTGAAGTTTTTTCAACATGGATACAAGTCATACCTTTTCAGCTTCTGAAAACAATGCATGAAAAAACAAACAAAGCTGCTTTTCAAATACTGTAACTCTTTCAAAGTACTTGTGATCATCAGTTTTTAGCTCACTTGAGTTTTTCTGGTTTTCTGATCACATTTTGTTTGTCATCCATCTGTCCGCCTGTAAACTTTTCACATTTTTGTCTTCTTCACTAGAACCGCTGGGCCAATTTCAACCAACCCTGCCACAAAGCATCTTCGGGTAAAGGGGATTCAAGTTTGTTCAAGTGAAGGGTCACACCTCTTTCAAGGGGGGATAATCAAGAATTAGTGAAAATTTGGTGGTGTCATTTTAAAAAAGTCTTATCAAGAACCACTGACTGGGCCCAAAAAATTGAAACTTTCTTTACATAGACTTAGTGTAGCTTCAAATTTGTTAAAATTATGACCCACTGGGGTAGGATGGGGCCACATATGGGGATCCAATGATTTACATAGAAAAATGCAGGGGATTTTTTCCATCATAAATCTTCTTCTCATGAACAGCAAAGGCATTATTGTCATCCGTTTTCACAAAAGGGACCTAGGGGACATTAAATCTCATTTGTCTGTCAGTATGTCCATTTGTCAGTCTGTCCGTCTGTCACAATAAATTTAACCTTGGTCATAACTTCTGAATAATAAGAGATAGGGCTTTCATATTTCACATGTACATTACCTAAAAGAACTTTCTAAACATACCATGATTTTTGAACCCATGACCTTGAAGTTTGACCTACTTTTCCAAAAATTTAACAGTATTTTAAATGATCATTTTGAAAGAGAAAAGATAGGGCGTTCATATGATACATGTATATTACCTGTGACAAGACCTCTCTAAATATATCATGACTTTTGACTCTGTGACATTGATCTTGAAATTTAACGTACTTTTCAAAAATGTTATATTTCCTTATAACTTCTGATTGAGAAGAGATAGGTATGGAACGCCATAGCTGCCTGAAGGTCATTTTCATTTTATATGAGGTGGTATAACCTTTATGTCAAGTGGTTAAGTCATTATATATATAGTGGTAGAATCGTTATATTCAATGAAAACTTTATTATATGCAGTGGTTTTATCTTTATATACAGTGATAAAATCATTATATACAGTGATAAAATCATTATATTCATTGATAACTTTATTATATGCAGTGGTTTTATCATTATATTCAGTGGCAATGTCATTTTATGTAGTGGTTAAATAATGTAGTGAAGTGATAATATCGATACATTATGTTGTAAAATCATTATATGCAGTGGTTTTTCCATTTTATACATTACTGATATCTTTCTGTGATGTGATGAATTCAATATATACAGTACAAACATAATTTGTGTGATAAAGCAATCATTACATTGTATGAAACCCGCTGCATGTGGAGTGCCAAGTTAATTTCATTCAGTGCAACACCTTTACATGAAGTGAAAAATCTATTATGTGCAGTACTAACATCATTATATGATATAGTAAAATTATTATATATATTCCTAAAATCATACTTTGCAGTGGTAACATCTTTATATGAGGAGGTTAATTAATTATATGATGTTGTTAATTTGTTATATGATGTGGTCAATTCTTTATATGCATTAGTCGTTTCATGTTATGCAGTGGTAACTTCTTTATCATCATCTAAACTGGTCCTCTTGCAAAAACATTTTTAAAAAATGCGCGGAGTTCCAGTTTAAAGAGTGTTTGAAAATAGGAAACCCGGGCCGTGACAAATTAAAAGCCGGGACTATTCGAGATTTTTCAAATTTCTGATTTAAAATTTTCAGATTCTTTTTTTAGGCTGATGTGTTTTCGCTGTAAAAATTGTATTTAAATATTTGGTATTTTAGATTTTCTTGACGATTTTTGGTTTCAAGTAAAATTGGTAGGCAGTTTCAGTTTTCTGATTTAATATTTTATCTATTGTGCTATAAGTACTTAGTATTTTAGATTTTTTTTTTTTTTTTGGCGATTGTTGATTTCCATGTTGGTAAAATGGGTAGACTGGGTTGGCGATATTTTATGTGTTTGTGTGTTTTTTTTTTTTTTTGACATATTTGATAAAAATCTAATAAACTTAAAAATTATTCCGATGTTAAACACTGTATTTTAACTAAAAAAAACT